GCATATTATATTGTACTTAGGTATTTTGTAGCATGTTTATATTGTATCACTAGTTTTAAATTGAATAAAATGTGAGCGGCAAGATCCTCTCGTTATAGAAAAAAAAAAAAAAAAAAATATATTTGTGATATATTGTTACAAGTATCAGCCTTCTTGATTCAACACAAGTAATATAAGACACAGAAGAGGAGCTCTCAATGGTGTCCAAGTAGAATATTACTTCACTGTGGCAGTTTATTACAAAGTTAATAAAAGAGCAAAGATTATACTTTATTTAAGATACAATATCGATAATATAAGACTATCTATTAGTTTCTGTACTAAGAGAATTCTAATATTAAAGAGATTGTAGAAGTTTAACCTAATCTGAGGCAAAGGGAAAAGGTAGGGTTTATATATCTTTTTTAGAAAAGTAAAAAAAGTAAAAAAAGTAATTTATTTGAACATTGTTTCTAGGATAACTTAATAACTATATTTCTGTTTCTTATAATTTATAGCTTGTTCAAAAGATCTCATCAAGCTGAATTTAATGATCTAATTTAAAACTAACTTTAACTATTAAGTTTATTGAGAAATTGATAAATATATTCAAAAAATTAACTAAATAAATTAAATAGCTAAAACTTATTTTATAACAATATAAAGAAATTAGAATAAGTCTTGGATTAAATAAGTAAATAGTATTTATTTCAGATAGTGGGTCTAACTTTAAAAAAGCATAACATCTTATGCATGAGATAAATATTTTAATTATATATCACATCTGTTATATTAACATTTGCATATACTAATATTAATATTATATTTGGAATTATAAAATAGATAATAGAGTTTTAACAATTCTATATATAGTACATCAAACCAATTTATTAGTTAAAAAAATAATCAATTCAATATTTTTAAATTAGATATTAAAAATATGCTAGTAATCATTAATCATTTCCAAAATTCTAATCTTGCATTATTCAAATTAAGAGAATTAGCTAGTAATATAATATTAAAATCTCAATATCTATATATTACCTATTGAATAATATTTACAAAATTAGCTAAAACTATTTTAGAAATTAAAACAAATTTAAAAGTATATATAATCAATATATTATATATACTAATATACAATATTGATACATATACATATTTAATCTATTCATATTTATTTTAGATTATCATACTTATATATATATCATATTTAATATCATATTTACAAAATAATACTAGTATTATAATTGATATTATTAATAATAATAAATTTTAGTTGAAACTTAAATTATTTTATGAATTATTAAAACTATATAATTATGTTATAAAAATTCTTGAAACTGAAAAAGCAATATTAGGTCAAGTAGCTGCATTATGAGTATAGTTTCATAAAATTATTAATAAGAACTCATTTACTAATAATAATTTTAAAGATTCTTTAATAACAAAAATTGATAATTATTAACAAAAAATCTATAATCCTGTTTTTTTGATTACCTAGTTTCTTCATCTGTATTATTATGGTAATAGATTAAATTTGATATAGCTTTTATATATTCAAGAAGCTGCATATATCTTTTTTACACTTTTTATTCTGATCATAATCAAGACTAATTTATTGATAAATAGTTGAATTATGCAAATTAAGAAGATCTATTTTCTGTATTATCTATTAAAAATTCTTTTACAAAATTTTTACTAAGATACTAGTGTACAGTACTATGCTAAATACAACTCCAAATTGAAGTAAATTTGTATGTTGTCTTTTATCAATTCTACTTAATTTTGCAACTTCTGAACAGATATAGTTTTTATTAGATAATATTATATATAGATAGTAAAATTTTTTATATACATATTATATAATTAAAACAGGTTATAATTATTATTATTACCTGTTTTAAAATCAATAAAAAAATGGGTTGTTTTACTATTTCTAGATAATATATATACAGAATATCATAACAGACTATCACCAATGCAAGTTGCAAAAATGGTATAGATTTCTTGGTATATAAGCCAAAATAAAAAAAAATTAAAACAAAATGAAAAAAAACTTAACCTTCGAAAAAAAAAATAAAATAGATAATAATATTTTGGATGATGACTATATTGATAGTAGTGATGATATAGACAAATTTATGGTAAATTTAAATCAGATATCTGAAAAATTAATAGATTATATTTATGTACTTGACGTAAATAGTGAGGAAACTATTCCAGCACTTATAGATATATTTGATTCTAAGACTGTTGAAAAATCTTTAAATTTTTTTATTAATCAATTGTATGTATAAATTTAGAGCTACTTTAAATTTTATTGATAATAATAATAAATAAAGTTATCAACCTTGTCGTTTAATACTTTAATTAATGTTTTTTATACAACCAGAGTATATTTCATTATGACTTAAATTCCTACGTATTAATGAGCGTGCTATAGTTGTTGTTTATTAATCCAGCAATTAATGTGTATTCATATCAGATATATAATTAATAAAAAATTTTGATACTTTGCAAACAAGAAAAAATAAATACTCGTCTTTTGAAACTATAATTTTAATATTCTCTCATTTTAATAAAATACCATTTAACACATGGTATAAGGACATATCCGAGCACTACTTTAAAAAAATGTACGGAAATGTTGGTATATTTTTTATTACCTTCGTGGTACTAATACTAAATAGTACGTAGCTGCACCTTAGCTGTACCATATATTATTAAGTAGTTTTTAGTTAATAACTCGGGCTAATAATTAATAACTATTATTAATTATTAATAATTTAGGAGGTTTCATCAACTAGGGTATACCTTTTTTATCTGTGTTAGTATTTTTTTGGTAAGTGGGTCAGTTAAAACCAAGTTTGTTTATATATAGATCTATATATTGCATAAGTTCTATTCTTGATATTTATATATAAATAAATTACTAATGCATCAAAAAAACTAACCCTAACGAACCTGGCTTTAGACATCCCCTAAAAAGGATTTTATAATACACTTAACCTAGTAATATTGCTACGTATATTTGTTGAAAATCACAAATTTTTATAATACGTACGTAAAATTATAGGCGCTGAGACCAGTCCATTAATGTTTTTGGTTCGGTCCTAAAATCGGTACTTGATTATCAATTGTATTGGCTAGCTAAGCAGTGTTGGCACTTGGTAGATGTTCATATTTTTTAAAAAATTTGAAATAGTCCAAATTTATATGTCCATATTTTGTCCATATTATTTTAATTAGTCCAAATGTCCATATTGGCCAACATTGTAGCTAAGAGATTCAATTATCGTTATGTAATATACTTTTTTTTAATGATATTTATGAAAACTGGTTAGACTGGTCTCAAGACCGAGGACTGAATAACCGTAAGACTGGTTAAAGAATCTTTCCAGGACTTGTTTATCCCTAGCCTAACCAGACATGAGGTGTCCTATTTCGCATAAAAATAATTCCAGTTATACTATTCTTTTGAACAGATGTTAAAAAAAATGGCTGATGCAGTCAATCTCTCCGTCACAGTGATTAAAGCCATTACTATTATTATTTCTCCCATTTTTTCCTGTAATTAACGAAGTCATAAAATTGGTATGGAATTTTTAATAAGCACAAATTCATAAACTATCTTAGTATACAGAATTATTTTAAATTTTATTTATGATATAATAAACAAATATTTTCACAAAAAAATTTTTTACCTATCACTATTTCAACGAATTATTACCGTAAATTTGATGGTTTTTAATGATCAATTTTTTTTTTTTTTTTTTTTTTTAAGATTTAATTTACCAAATAATTTAGATATTTACTTGGAATTTCAACATTACAAGTCATGTACTGTTACAAATTAAGTAAAAAGAAACCTTCGATTCTCAAGCTATCAAAATAATTTTGGGAAGAAATTGCAGTTGAATTGAATTATTTTTTTATATATTTTGTGACTTTTCATATTTATTGATACAGTAAATACGATTCAATTTGCTATAATAGATTTAGATACACACATTCAAGAAGTGTAATGGAAACTTAACACCGGATATTTTACAATTATAAAACACATCCTTCCAAATAAGATTTTATTAAATTCTTTTTAAATAGAGAAGATTTTTTTTAGCATCATTACTATCCTTATCAATTGACTACATAGAATTTTGAGAATAAAAATAAATTTAAATATGCACATAAGGCATCCTTGTCAGAACGCATATAATAAGATGATCCGCAGTTTTTGTTTCACGTTTTGGGAATACTATTGTTGTGCAAAATTATTTAAAAGCAATTGGATTGTGTTTATTTTATAGCCATATATATTTGAGTAATCCATTTAGCACGTGCTGTGTTTAGGGATCAAGTCATTAACGTTAAGGTCAAGGCTAGAATCAAGGGCAAAGAAGGATGATCTGTTGACAAAAGTAGTTAGTTATCTTTATCGGTGAAATGTCCTGCATGGGAAATTAAGTTAGTAAAGATACTTTAATTATTGAATCTGTTATTTCACACCATATTATTTCACCGTATTATGAATAATTTTTTAATATGGAAGTAATCCAATCAAGGATTCAAGGATGTGAAGAATGTAAGAATTTGGGAATATAAGAATACCAGACAACAACCTATTGTGTATTATATAAGAACAGGTTTGGATCCTGGAATTTAACAATAGTTACTTACTCAATTTTTATTATTATATATTGGGAATAAATGAAAGAATTTCTTTATTATTACATTGCTCGGAATTAACGAAAAGAAACTAAACAATATAATATTGACAACAAAAATCGTGAAACCTAATCACGAAAGAACTCTAAATTATAGATATTAAGTTTGAGATGATATGCTTACCTTCTTATACGAAACTGATATTTTATTGTACAAATAAGAATTACATTGTGAATTACCAATGTTTACATACAGTCCAATATTGTCATTCTATCGTTATTGACTTCACAAATGAGAGTCCGTCAATAGATTATAAAAATACGGTAAAAAATAAAAGACATACATAAGAGTAGATCAAGTGCCATTTTACGATAAATTAAAACTAACCATTTATAAGTAAAATGCACTTCTGCGACATTGATGATTGAATGAGAATTTTTACAACGTATAATAAATATTATTTCAATAAACTAAGATCTTAAGTTACATACTATACTCATATTACCTTTCTAAATCGTTATTTTCGATTTTATTCTATTTTTATTTTTACTCAACAAGCTGAATTTTAACTTGTATATACTTACCACTATACTTGCCTTGTTAAAAGTTTTCCTCTAAGCAAAGTTTTTAACGATAGAGATCGATAGAGATCACCTTCACTCAATAGACGTCTTGAGAGTAAAAGAAGTCTATAAAACGTTTTGGTTAAACTTTACTTTGTGAAACCAAAAGTTGCCAATTGACAAAGTGGCTTTTCATAGTAAAGTTTACTTTAAAAATTTTTTTTTATATTGTGTGACTCAGGTTTTATGAGCTAATAAAATCGAATGTCTGCTATGCTACACAAGCTGCTATACCTATAACCTGCTTGTGAGTTATCTATTTAAACACTCTGTTCACCTAACCAATACCAGAACTAACTAACGTCACTGTAACATCTAACCGCTTAAGCCAGCTAGCTCGTTGCAGATCTATTTACCTAACTCAGCTTAGGTCCTCTCAGAATATGTATTGCTTAACATATTATGGCACGCAAAGCTCTGATTAACCTCGTAAGCAATCCTACTAGAGTAGTTCATGCCCATTTCATGAATTCACCTAGCTTAGACCCTTGCAGATGTTCGTACAACCCCAGTTTCTACCGTAGCTCTCCACCAGTTTTCCGTGTCTATCTTCTCGGATGTTTCATGAGGCAGATCCTCCCAATCTAGTTAGCTACCAAGCCAGGTTGGTGTTACTGATCCTCCCTGTGGAATAGATTTATGCACACCCGACTTGATCAGCATCTTTTGACGATAGTTTCTTTTCTGGATCAAGTGTTAGCCAGTGTGACCGTCAAAAGCTGTACTACTTCACCAACTCAGGATTTCTACTATGCAGGTCCCCTGCCCGTAGATCCTATCAAGATTTATTCGTGTAATGTTATACTCTCTGAACATTCCGTCACACTTCCAATATTCGAATAATATTGGTGCAACGTGATTTACAGAGTTACAACCCCAGAAACGGACAGGGTTTACCATAAGTTGGGTACAAAGTCTGAGTAATTATTCAAATTCATCAACAGTGGGATTTGAACCCCAGACTTCTTGCATGGCGGTCTGGCAACCTAACCACTATACTAAGATCGCCAGACCTTTCTATTTTTAAATTTTGATTCTCCTGTTTTTTATTTATTATAATAAAATTTAATATGCTATTTTTTGACACATTAGTCTATCTGTTACCAGATAATATTAGAAATATAGAATGTGATATAAAATGTTAAATACTACATTGAATATTTTCATATATTTTATCTAAAATATCTATACTTAGCTATTTATGTGATAAAAGTTTATACTTAGATTTTAGCATGTAAAATAGTTTAATTATTTCTGAGTCTTTTATGAATAATAGTGATGCATTAGCTGAAAATAATACTTTAAGTAATTGATAATTAATAGATACTTTTTCTCTAATAGACAAAACTGAAGCATTTTCAATTTGAAATAATAGATTGTTATCAACTTGAAGTAATAGATTATTATCAACTTGAAGTAATAGATCATTATCAACTTGAAGTAATTGTTTTTTTGTAAGTTTTTATTTTTTTTAGTATTAGTATTTTTTAAAATATTTTTGATATTAATATGCTCATCTTGATAAATTTCTTCACATCTTTCTAATAAATGTTTAGCCATTTTTGAAGGTTCTCCAGAACAATTTTGTTTACAAAAATTACATTATGCTAAATAGTATGAACTATTTAGCTTTTCACCTTCACTAAACCATTGCCAAATTGGTTTTTTTTTTCTTCCAAATTTACGTTGAGGTGATATTTGAACACTAGCAATGTGAAAATTTTTAACCTGAATGTTATATTACTAATGTTTTTATTATTTTTTTGTAAACAATTAAAACAAAGACCAGTTAAAATCTCGAGGAATAGAATCTTGACAAAGCCAAATCCTGACAAGTTTTCCTGTATTAGGTTAGTGTTCGCTAAATTCTGGTTAATTTTTGTTGGGAATTTGGTTGCTAGGATTGTTTGTCAGGTTGGTTTGTTAGGATTTTGACCCAAACAATTACATACATATGCAGTTATTAAAATGCTTGCATACCCATTTTTAACAATTACCGAAATTACTAATAATCATTAACTATTATTAACTAATTAATAATTGTTTTATTATTAACTAACAACTCGGTAGTCCCATCACTAGTATACCCGAGTTGCACAAATTTGAAAGTTTTATTCTACAGATTCTAGTGTTAGAAGTGTTGATGTAAACTAGTGTTAAGGTTAATATGAGTGAATGTTTAACGAAATGAATTTCTTTAGAAATCAGCCAATCAAAAAAAACCGAAAATTTTGTTCAAAAACATATCTATAAATATAAACATGATAAGCGCTAGGATCAAATGAGATCGAATGTTCCACTAACATTTATTAAAGACGATTTTGACAATACTAGTAGGTAATATAAAGTTATTACATTATGTTTCTAACTTTTAAAACGAAATAACCAATTATTTCTTTGAAGTAAAAGTAGGGATGCGGTTATACTAGTATAATAAAAATTCTAATATAATACAAAAGTATTATACCGTATTATCAGTTATACTGTACTGAATAACATGGTATAATGGTAATATATCGATATAGATTAAATTATAATTTTTAAATGCGATAATTTGAGCAAGTTATATTATAGTAATTTTAGCCAATCAGAATTCTCACTGATTAGTCAATAAAAAATGAAACTCTGACTTGCTCGCGCTTTGTTGACATTTTTATTTTTTTTATTTTTTTTACAAAGATTAAATAATAATGTCTAGCATACGTAAAAGGGATCATGATGACGAGGTAATATATTCTAGAAATAGACAAGCAAGCAAGCCCTTTTCTATTAGACTCCTTTGTGAGGTCATTTGTGCAATTTGTTTGTTGTAGTGAAAAGGTACAAATATGGGGTCTTTGCCTTGAAATTACCTTACGGGACTTAGTAAATCATATGCTCTCTCGCTCTCGTTCTCTCTCTTTCATTCACTCTCTCACGCGCTCCTCTCGTTCTCACTCACTCTCACTTGTTCTTTCTCTCTCTGATCCAAACTCGATTTCTAAGGCAAAGACCCCATATAATTGCAGAAGTGATTCCAATGTTATGTAGGTCAGTTCGAAGGTGATGTCTGATGACGCCACTAGCGTTTCTCCTAAAGCAGGAGTTAAAAAAAAAAAAAAAAAAAAAAAAAGGCAGTCTCCGTTCGATCTACATATTCATTGAAGGCCACTAGGAAATCATCTAATAAAGTTTCTTTAATAAAGTCTACTGATTCCAGAGGAAGAATCAGTTACGCCTTCCTTATTAAAAAAACTTACGCTTGCTACACTGTTATAATATTATTTACTTAATGAACATTTCATTAATTTGATTTTTTTTATTATAATTAGAATAAAGAAAATCAATTACAAAAAAAAAACAAAAACTAAGAGCCGTGTACTTAAGTATTATCTTTGATCTTTGAATAGCTAAACTACGTGTATTCACCTTTTTATCTTCTTAGTGACACTAGTGAAGATGACAATATAAATGAATATATCGACCTATCGGAACTTAAACTCTATCCAAAAATGCTAAATCTTGTTAAAAATAAAGTTCTTCAACTCGTGAATCGTATGGAGACTGAAAAATATCAAGACATTATAAAGATAATCGAAAAAAAAGGATAAGGAAACATTAGAAATAGTGGAAAGGGTAATGAAAAAAAATGAATCCGAAAAATTAGAAATAGTGGAAAGAATCATTAAAAGGGAAGAAACAGAAAAACGAGCCATTATTGAAAGGAGAGAGGCGTCATTACAATTAGAAAGTATATGTGGAATCAGAGGTGGATTGGAATTTGTCCGCTCACAAGTAATTTTTAATGCTTAATTTTAGTGCTTAACGAATAGTTTCTTGTTTTTGTTAATTGGTTTTAATTTTAATTTTATCTTTTCATAATAGATTTTATCTAAAAATAACAATTCTTCTTTTGAAGAACCTATTGATAAAGTTCTTTCATATTTATCAAAGGACAAAGATTTCACTGATTTTTTAGAAACATCTTGCCGAAAAAACCATCTTAAATTAGAAGATGTAAAAAAATGTATAGGAGGGCTCTATCATACAGCTTCGAAGCATCTACATGGACATGGAAATATTGTTATTAATGAACAGTCGTGGTCGACCAATGAGATTTTTTCGTTGGCAGTTATCTTCGAATATTACGAAGTTCCCTGGACTTATTCTGGGAATTTTCCTTTCAAAATCGGTCAATAATTATAATGATAGCTGATAACAATTCATATGCTTGATAATAACCAAAAGGTGGGTTTTTTATATATATTGTATATTCATAAGCTTTTTTGGTCATAACAAAAAAGTTGGGGTTTTTTATATATATAATATAAATAAATTGGTATAAATCGTTGCTTCCTGACATTGCTTCTGGCAAATTTAATCAAATATTCGTTAGAGATTTGTCACATGATTGATTGGTCCTCATATAGGGTGTCTAGCAAAGAATAAATAACAACAAGATGGATTTTTATCTTTCGCTAATACGTAAAATGTAAAATTTGTAATTAAACTTGATATCAGACAGAATAAACGATCGCTTGTTTTGCACTTCGTGGGAATATGACCATACGACATGCCGAGTTAAATAAACTAAGCAACTGAAAATGCTAGCAAGGCCTAACCTAGGGATGGATCAGTCCGTCCTAGTCCCTGTCAGTACCTAAATTTTAATTTTCAACAAATATGGGGCGGAGCGAGTTTTTAAAAAAATCATCTAATTTAACGTTTTTTTAAAAATTAAGATTAGGGTTAGGCTGTTTTCTAGTTAGATTTAGAAAGGTATATAGGTAAAATTGCCTCACCAACATTTTTTATCAATGCTCTAAAGCGAGTTTTGACTACCGTTTTCTGTATTTTTCGCAATTTTCTCTTTTTTTTCGCTTGTTTTGTTTCAAAATCTCACAATTTGATTGGTCGATCATTTGACGATAGGCCGGGTGTAAGACCCGCGGGTAGGGTTGGGGGCACGGTTAGGGTAGGAGGCACGGTAAAATTTTCGGGCATGCCTTAAACTGAGGCATGCCCTACTTATCGTGCCTTGGGCATGCCCCTAGTATATAAATCATATAATAAGT